CCTGAAAGCCTGCTCGCTGTATATCGTCTGGGCCCGACGACGACGTGAAAGCTTTTCTATCCGACTTCGACGTCTCGACGTCGTGTCCCCCCTCCTTCCTCCATGGATGAGTTCTTCGATGTCACGAATGAGGCTGGGCGGTTTTCCACTTGCTTGGTTCCTTGGTGGCCGGGGAGGAGTACTTCGACGCGACAGCAATGCAGTTCCAGCGAATCTGGGACCTGCTGAGAGATTGTGTGTCCCAAACGCTTATCGACGAAGGAGTCATCACGGAACTTCCATGATGGAAGTTCTTCAGCAAGTCGAATCCGCCGCGGGGAAAAAGCGCATTTGGCGAGGAGAGGAAGAATCCCAACAAGTTTGAGAAGGCGAAGGCCGAGCTCGCTGCGAAGATTATGGAACTCCCTCCGGCAATGTATCGGGAGCTCAAGATTATGATATGCTACGCAGCTGCAGGCCAGTTCGTCCAGTTTTTCATGCTGCAAGCAAGAAGCGTTGATTCACTGAGAAATCTCTGTTTTCTAACGTTCTTTTGGCGCAGGGAGTCCTCACGCCAGTGACTGACGTGCTGGATGTGACTAAGAACATACCGTTCAAGCTCTACTTCTTGTTGCTATGAATGGATGCGAGCGTGGCCCTGAGTGATGAACAAGCTCGCACCGATTCCGTACTGACTAGATCGTTGCAGGCCTCCGCTTGATACGTTTGTTCTCCATGGTCACTGGGAAATCAAGCTCACGCTCAAGGGCGCTGTGAAGAGAATCGTAGACTTCGAAGCGTATTCTTCCGAGCACGAGGTCTGTCTTGCCGGCCTCGAGGCCACTTACACCGCTGCCATAGAAGGTGGCGGACATATGATTAGTAGCGTGTTCGGAAGTGTGGCGGACATATGATTAGTAGCGTGTTCGGGCCTGAACTTGAGTCCAAGGAGGGACAACTCATGCGCGAGGTGACTCTCACTGCCATTCCGAAACACACGTCCTCTCGCTTAGGTTCCGATAGTTGCGAATCATCAGAACGAAAGAGAGCGAGATTTGCGACGGTCACCAAGAGCACGGAAGCGATCAAGGAGATGAAGGCGGTCTACGAGGTGGAAACTCTACCACTCTGTGTGAAGAAATATCCCGACAATGAGGAGGACATGCGCGACATGGCATATGGAGTTTTGCGAGGATTGAAAGCTTTGCACAAAGCTGGTAAGCTTTCTTAATTTTCTTTTCTTCTGTCTTTCGATCTTAGTGTCTGTCTCATCCTTGTTTGTAAGCTTCCAGGCTTGGTGCACAAGATCATGTATGACTACTTGAAAGAGAAGTACTTGCTGATCGATCTCAGCAAGAATGAAGAAGTGCCAGCGTTTCAATTTAAAGGCTGGATCGCGACAAGGCTGGAGGCCGACTGGTGCTACATGATTTAATCCGACTTCCATCAACTCGGACTCGTGCTCCAGTCTACAGAAATCGAACCAAAGACTTTACTGCTAAAAGTCTTTTAGCATAGAAGAAGAATTAGGGCGGACGTGGATTATGCTTATTTATATTCTTCCAAAAGCCCTAATTTTAAAGTTTACCATCTTAGAATTTAGGGCTGACGTAGATTATGCCTATCCTTAGAATATGCTTTAAACGACAGATTAGTCTTGTACTTCCTCGGAAACGCAGTCTTGTTCTTCCTCGGAAGTGTGCGGGGACGAGGAGGATGAGCGATCCCGGGGCGTCGGGCTACGTCGTGCTGCTGCGGCGATGCATCGCGGGCAGGGATCTGGAGGGCGGCCGGCGATTGCACGGGCTGGCACACCGATCTCTTCGTCGCCAATCTCCTCATCCAGATGTATGGCGCCTGCCGCTCCATCGCCAGCGCATGGTCGTCTTCCGCGAGCTCCGCGTCCGCAACCTCTTCACCATCAACATCACCATCGCCGCGCTTGCCCAGAACGGCTGCTTCCGCGACGCGCGATCCCTGTTCGTGGAATCCCCCCGGCGCGACGTCGTTAACCATCGCCGCGCAGCGCCTCCGGATCGGCGAGGCGCGGGAGGTCTTTGCGCGGATGCCTGCCCGGAGCGTCGTCTCTGCGAACGCGATGATCGCAGCATTTGCCCAATCCGGGCAAATTCGCGAAGCCCAGGAGTTCTTTCGCGACGCCATAGACGAGAGGGACGTCTCGAGCTGGAAAAATCTCCTCCACGCCAGCGTCTCCTGCAGCGAGGTCGATCTCGCGCGATCGGTCTTCGATGCTATGCCGCACTGGGATTGTGTCGCGTGGTTGAGCATGATCCAGGGCTACGCCGAGCGCAGATGCGCAACGCCGAGGAGCTCTTCCTCGCGCTGGATCATTCGGATCTCATGTCCATCACGTCCATGATCGCGGGCTATGGATCCGTGGGGAAGATCGACCAGGCGAGGGAGCTCTTCTCGCGGATGAAGCACTGCAACACCGTTGCCTGGAACGTGATGATCCCGGCGCTGAGGAGGCGCGGCAGGCATTCGATTTGATGACGGCGCCGAGGAATCTCCCGTCCTGGAACACGATCATCTCGGCCTACGCACAGGCGGGACTGGTGGATCGACGCCATGCAAACATCGTGTCGTGGACGACGATGATCACGGCCTTACGCGCAGCACGGCGCCGGCGCCGACGCGATCCAGCTCTTCCGGATCATGGATCTTGAGACGATCGTGAGCTTGCTTTTCGCGGCCACAGCGATCCAAGATCCATCACTGGCGCACCCGATATCCGCCACAGCGCCTCTACCGCGAGGGGGCGGTGGGGAATTCCCTTGTCCATCTCTTCAGCCGGGCGGCTGGACGACGCGCGCGAGATCTTCCTGGGGATGATCGACAGAGCACGGTTTCTTGGAATATCGCCATCACGGCCACGGCCAAGGCCGGGCACGGCCGATCGGCGCTCCAGCTGCTGGAATCCATGGCGCTCGACGGTTGCGCGCCCGACGCGATCACATTCTCGTGCCACATTGGATCGAGTTCATGAGCGTGCCTTGGTACCTATAGTTTCATAATAAAAACCATTACATTCTAGAAAATGCATTTAAAAAAAAAAGTGCTTACTTCATTGGATGAATGGAAAGAAACAGAAGCCTCATTCCCAGATGCATCTCTCCAGATATGACAGACATGACGAGGTAGTAGCAAAAGATTGCAAACGCAGTGGTTCCTAACAAGCCTGAAAGGAAGGAAACTATTCAGATCTAGAGATCGCATCGACAGAAAGTACCCCCAACACTGTCAAGCTGAATAAAGGCTTGATTCAGAAACAGAAAAGCTGGAGGATTGGCAAGCATGAAAACAATGATGTGGAGAAGCCAAAGTATAGACAAAGCCAAACTGCAACAAGAGAAATAATAAGACTGAATCTTTTTTTCAAGGACTTTCTTACCCGAAAATGCCAAAAACAAGCTTGGCTAAGTAGAAGAGAACCGTTGTGTCTGCCTGAGAGAAAACTAGCAGTAGAATCATAAATGGTAAACTAGAACGGTACCTTCTCTCCCTGTGGGAATGCCTCGTTCAGAGCTTCAACATCATCTTCCAAAAAGACAAGCTCCTGAATCGAGCTACACATATGCGTTTGTCAACACGATCACGTCCACCATTTACTTTTGTTTCTGTGTGCAGTGGTGCTCACCTGCTGGACTTTCTTCACATTTTGTCGAAACTTCCGTCCTTTCTTCCCACCTCTCTCTTCGCGTTGGAGGCCCAAAGTCGCCGTTTTTAGCTCGTTAGAGCACTTGGCTAGATCACCTTGAAGATATTAGTTGCAAGAAACGAGAACAACTCACACACACACCTTTACATATTGAGCACGAGTAATAACACACTTGGGCCTATACTTGAACGCAAATATGAGGCTCACTGGTAATGTTGCCATTCCAACACCTCCAAACATCTGCAGGAATGAAATCAGATCTTCTAGAAAACAAAACATAAAACGACATTACTGTGAAGAGTATTGATCCTATTATTGTGTTTAATGTGATCACGTAAGTTGGGAAGGGCGCACGCACAGACCACGTAGTTTTAACCAGAGATCCAGACATATAAGCTGCACACTGTCACACAATATTGCCAGATGAATGAAGAAAGGGAAAATGTAGAAGAAAAGGCTTACCATGAGAGTAACATTAGAAGATAAGGAGAAACTAGCCGAAAACAAGAATGGAGCCTTTGCATTGAGCGAGCTAAAATCATTGATGAACGCCAGCGTCGTGGATGAAAGATGTCTCACGGTGAAATTGGCATAGCCAATCACAGCTTCAAGCAATCACATAGAAGAAGGGTTTAAGAACAAAAGATGGAAAAGAACTTCTTACCATAGAGAATTCCCAAAAGGAGGCAGAAGACTGTGAGGAGTATCACCACCCACAAGAGAGCGTTCTTTACCCTTTGTGTCACAGTCCTGGAAATCACCACGAACAAAGAAAGCTTTTGAGATCATGGAGGAATAGAAAGAACTTAAGAAACTCTAGGAGGAGCTTGGTCAATCGAGTATTCTAAGAACAAGAACAAAAAGATGGAAGATTACTTCTCCTGATCGCTCTCGTAGAAGAAGATCGCGAAAAGAATGACGAGCACAGTGTCGATGATGTAAACCGCCCACCATAGCTGCTTCATCGGGAGAGTGAGCTTACACGCCCCGACGTAGAGATTCTTCTCGCAGGAATGGCGATTCGCGACGTCCGCCGGGAGCATCAGGATCGAGAGTTGGGCAATGCTGAGCCCAATCACGACGATGATCTTGGGAAGATAGGCCTGATTCTGGAGCGCGTGATGCCGGGGATCCGGCGTCTCGAGGAGCTGGAGAACGGGGAGCGTAATGCCGGTGTAATGAATAACATTCTCGAGATATTCTCAGAGAACAAATAGTTTGTTTTTTGAGCCAACCTTTGGCACTCAATCTTTGCCACCCAGTCCAATTCCATCGACATCCTGATTGGGACAAGCCAATTCTAAGATTTTTCACTCCATGATAGGAGGCACCTCTTAACTTAAGGATGCCGAGGGATCCTCAGCTCCTCGGCCGCGGTAATCTATAGCGTGCCGGGCGGATTGAGGGATCCAGGGCGATTGTGGGTGTCGTGGGAACCCGCTCCAGCTCTCCTACATCGAGAATGCTGTGGGAGGCGGTGGAAGAGTCACGGAGATTCATCTGGGAGAAGGATGGGATGCCGAGAGGCGGCATGATTCTCTCCCGGCTTTTGCTCTTCTCCAGAACCAGCGGCAATTGGGCTACAGGCGACTGGTATGAAAAATTCTTCTCGTTTTACTCTAGAAACGCTAGGTGTGATCACAGGTGGGAGCATGTATTAGAGTATAGCAAGAGCATTCGCAGCGTTCTCGACCAGCCCACCCAAGGCAAGGTTAGCCATTGTATCATACGTGAGCGAATGATGTGAAAGATTTTTTTAGTTTTTTTTAGTTTTTTTCTTGCAGGAGGAGAATACGTCGATGCTTAAGGCTGTGTGGGAGCTCATAGAAGTTTTCTATGTGGACAGAAGCGCGACATGGTGGCTTCCGGAGCGTCTTGTAGACTGGCTAGCGGTAAGAAGCAGTGATTTTTATTTTTTATTTTTGACTTATGATTGATTTGCCTGTGAGCTTTGCAGGAGTATGACAAAAGTCCTCTTGAGTGATGAAGACACTGTACATTCCAAGGTACTGTCGTTCCAGCGGAAGCTTTCCGAGATTCAAGTAAGTTCGAAGTCTTGCAGCTTTTTGTTTTCTCTTTGTGTATCGTTGTTTAACTTGCACTTGCAGTTTCCCGAAGACGATGTAGCTTACTGGGATGCAATGGCCTCGGCCTTGTCAGTTGGATGGCTTGACGTTGTTGTAAGTTGGAAAACTGTGCGTGTAAGTTCCATTGGTAAATCTTAATCTTCCAGATAGCGTTCTTGCGGATGCATGGATCGTATCGATTGGATCAGCTTGATGACTGGCAGGTTTCTTTCACCATGCTGTTTTGTTGACTTGCGTTAACTTCCGGATGCTTTTTTATGTCTTGGCAGACTGAAAATGGCCTCGTAGAGGCAGTTACACTGATCATTATGCAAATGCCGCGGTTGCACCCGAGGCTCCCTGATGGAAGTCCTGGTGTTGCTATAGGTTTTAAGCCTGACTTTTCTAAGGTTTGATGTGGTTGCAGCAAAGTTTTTAGTTTCTCAGATTTTATTACATGCAGGCGAGGGAAAAATGGCGAAGTCAGGTTTCCAAGCTTGAAAATAGTGTGTTTTGGGCGGAATGCAACCACCGTGGGACGCTTCTTGGTCTTAAGAAGCTAATACAGGTGCTATTGGGAAACGTTGATGTTCTACAGCTCTCTACGTTTCACTGGATGGAGCTGCTGGTGGCGCATTTCCTACATCTGATACCTTTTTCTTTGGTATGTATGAACTGTGTAGTGTGCTAAGTTCACTTGCAATTATCGGGTGCAGGTCTTAGATGGAATGCGTAGCATAGCTTCCAAGTGCAAAGGATTGAAAAGTTCTGGGGACGAAGACCTTGAAGAACTTTTATCTGCAATTATCAGCAACGACACCGAGGTAAATGCTCTTCCCAGTACTATACAGATACTCTTTGCGAAGTGTACGAAGGTTTTCAATGCCTGGTAAGAACTTCTCATGTCGAATATTTATATAAATTTTCTATCAGGATGATGGCGCATGTTGATGATCTCCTGATAGCAAAAGGGGAGGACGTTCGATCTCTTCTTGAAGAAGACAGGCAAACTCTAGGCGGCTTGAGCTTGAAAGAACTCCATCGTTTGGTTTATTCTCAAGTACTGTCTTCGCACAGCTTAACCTGGCAGGTATATCGTTGATTTCTTTGTTCTTGATGTTTGTCTAACAATTATCTCAGCTAGCACCTGTTTACCTCGCGGCTTGCCCAAAGCAAGGTCTGGGAATGCTTGAAGCTCTCCTAATGAAGCAGAGTTGTTCCAATCAGAAACTGGCATTGAAGGTTGGTCTTGGTGTGACGTTTTCTTGAATCTTAATGTGAATTTTGTGCAACAGGCACTAGAGATATGCCGCCTCTATGAACCTGATACCGTGAGCACAGCCATCGCCAGGGTTTAGTATCCTCTTCCTTTCCAGGCTTGGGGTTCTCACCTGTGTTTTATGTCTTCCAGGCTGTTGGTGTTCATAGTTTAAAGCATGGAAAGAAGGGCCAAGGGATAATGTGGCTTCAATTGGCCCGAGACGAGCAGAGGCTTTCTACTCTTGCGGATAGCTTTTGAACACAATAACGTCTGGTGAAGCTGATAGTCTGGATAATCTCGAGGTAGCAGTCTTACGTTTTATTTGATACACGCACACTTTTAACGCTCTTTTCCCGTGCCAGCATTTTGAGGGTCTCTGTGACATCCTTGGCTCGGGAGCAACGAAGCATCAAGGCCTGTCGTTCCTAGCAAGGTACTCACTTCATACAGTTGCAAAACTATCCGGAGCTCACTTCCAACTTCACGCAGGTACAAAAGCTTTAAGGCAGCGGTGCAAAACATCAGAGATCTGCGTCGTAGGGAGGCTTCCTACACCGAAAACCTCGCTGCGCGAGGCAGAGCAGCGGTGACTTCTCTTCTCCAGGTTACCAATCCGTTCGGAACTTCTTCTTGCTCACTAAAACCCCGGCTTGCAGCTTCTAAAATCTGGAACCTTTCCACGTAAATTCTGGCTGTCCTTGCTCCAAGAATCGGTATGGAGCTGTTCTCACGTCTCGTTTACACTCTAAACTTCGGATCGATCAGATGGAGCTGCTGGAATGGCCGGAGCAAGTGCTGGTTAGCGAGTCCGAAACAAACACTCTACTCTGCTGCCTCCAGGAACTCTTCCTCGCCAGGGACCGCCTAGAGAACGACATCCTAGGCACCGCAGAGCCTGGCGCTGTGGATCGCCTGAGATTGGCACTGGCATCCAACTTGGGCCGTGCCATCTTGCAAAGCTGATCGTTTCTACGAAGGTAGGAAGGATTTCTTCTTGAACTGTACAATTCAGAAGCGTGAGTCTAATTAAGCAAATAGTTTGACCGTAAAACTTCGCTAAAAGTCAATTTTTAGTCAACACAGTCTTCAGTTATTGGAAGTGTTAGCTTTTCATTGGTTTTCAATGAATATTATTGTTTAATTTTCGTGGGCAGAAATATTCTGAAAGAATATTTAACATGGTGGATCTAAAGGAAGATAATAAACTCTAAGAAAAAGACTATGGTGACAGGAAGGTGACTTAAAGATGATTGCAATTATTTCTTGGTGAGGGGAAAATTGTTAAGCACCAAGTTAGGATAATAGGATAAAAAAACATTGTTACACACCAGATCAAAATAATAGGATAAAAAAAGGACTTTACAATCAAATAATCACCCCTTTAACCAGTTAGGTTAAAGTGTAAAAAATAGAATCATACTCCCAGGCTCCATCATGTGGTTCCTGAGCAGTGACACAAAACAATCCTACTCTTGTTCTTGATAGCTTGGCATAAATTCTCTCTGTCCAGAAATCACTAGCTAATTCTTAGCGTGCCACAAATGTAGTTGCTCCACCACGATCGCTGCTGCTTATGCCGGTTGTCACCACCACTACCACTGCTACCAGCGCCACTGCTAAACTTTGGCAAGGGGTTTCTAACATTCTCAATGGCTTTCATCAGGACGTTGCTATTGGTATGCTTGGGTGGTGGCATCAATAAAACAGATGCATGCAACACCTCCTTATCCTGCCTTGGAAGTCAGGCTCCCAATCTCAGACAAGTGCAAACAAGCTTTCGCTACTCTCCCCTAACAGTGTGATTTCACCCTGTTGACGTTCACGGCCCATTTCCTTCACCATCAATTCTCCAAAGGGTTTTTAAAGTTGTGAAAGTTGACTTAGTGGACCTGTGGTTTTCCACAAGCACTGGTTCCTTTGCGACGCGATGTGGTTCCGGGCAAAGTCATCTACACATTTGGCGAGGAGAGGACGCTGCAATCTACCCAGAGCAATGTACGGCAGTTTATCATGCCCTAAAAGCATATGCGTAAAGAATATGATACCTGATTTTCTTGATATTGGGACTACTGCATGGCATTTTCTGTTCGGTGTAAATGCGTTTAACTCGTTTTCTGCACTAAACTAATCTTTCAGAACGCTCAATCCACCTAATCACCTTTTGTTTTTTAACCTGCAGTTTTGGAGGTATATGTATGACAAAGTCACAATACATGACTTTATTACCGCTTCCACAATAGCTGGGTCTGGTGACCCGTCAATCTTGAATCGCTAGAGCTTTTGTTGAGAACTGTCAGCTCTG